TTCATTGCCTCTGTTGGGGGTTCAAAGAATGCGTTTTGTTCTTCCACGCATCCATTTTTCATTATATAATAACATATTGGCTTGTGTCTAGCCAGTTCCTGTTCAACCATTAGGTCAGTCTCTTTGACTTCGACCTCTCGGTTATATTCTTTGGGCAGCACATATATGACATTCACCATGATGTCCAAACTGTCACTAGATTCAGAGTCATCATCATTCGACCCACACTCTTCCGCCCAGGGCACATGATTTCTCTCCAGAGGGTTCCTTTGTTTTTTCTGCACATTAGTGCTAACTTTTGGATGAGGTCCAGCTGTCTCTTTCTTAGTCTTTCGCCGTCTTTGAAACCTCCTCCATTGTAAACGAGACATAGGATTCTTTCCTTTATAGTTGCTCGACACATGGGTCATTTTGTTCGACGCAGGGGCATGGTATTCCTTTCTGTAATCTAGACAGGAACCTCTTGGTACGTCGAATGTCTGCCACCTTTCTTCATTTAGCCGTTTCCTTCCCGTGGTATTCAACCAGGTATCAATAGGCACATTAGTTGGAGGCCTGAAAGTTGGTGGCCTCCTTTCCTGAGTCATGGGTCTTTGTTGATGTCCCCTTCTGGGGTCAAATCAAATTTCTGGACCCATTCTTTGTTGGGCATTGGTGCCCTGTTTTGCTTTTACAGTCTACATCACCTGTATGTGTTCAGCGGCCTTCTTATCAAAAATAGAGCTACACCTAGGGCATAGCATTACTTCTGATTTCTTCTTTTGGCATCTATGCAAAAATTCTGCCAAATTTTCATCCTCCTTTGGGAATGCAGTTTTGTTTACTTCCTCTTGTCGAAGGGTCTCCTCTGAAACTTTGGCTCTAGAGACTTCGACCACATTAACTTGCATGTTGCTTTTGGTAGCCAGGTTCATCTTCTGCATCTTGGCCTCCAAGTCCTCTGTCGAACCCTTTGCAGCAGCCAAATAAGAACCTGTGGTGGTTCTTTTGCTAGAGCTTTCAGTAACTCTTTTGATCAGTTTCAGGCCAACATCGGCCTTCTTGTTTGATGCTTGGTCAACTTCCTTCTTCGAATCCAGGCCTTCAGTGGCCTTTCTCACCCCTTCGATTGTTTTCCTGGAGATGTTCCCAGTGAAACTTCCGAAGATCGGTTTTGTGATGAAATCTTCAGACACTTCCACCATATCAATGCCAACTGGTTCGGCATAATGAGCCTCTGCCTGCAGTGGGTTTGTGTCGATTTTCATTGCTGGTTTATCAGCAAATTTCAGCCTTCCTTCATTCAGTGCATGTTGAACGAGATCCCTGAAAAGGAAACATTGTGAGGTTTTATGTCCCAAAAAATTATGATATTTACAAAAACCTCTTTTCTTTCTCTATTCTAAAGGAGGAAATTTAGCCCCTGAGGGCACTATCATCTGTCCATCTTTAACTAATAGATCGAATATTTCATCACACTTGGATATGTCGAAGCTATAAGTTTTCTTAGGAAATTTATCACTGTTTTTCTCCGGTTCCACAGGATTCTTCCCATTTGATGGCACCAACAATTTACAAGAATATGATGGTCCATGTTTTAATTCAGCTAAATCAATTTCGCCTTCTTCGACATCTATAGGATCGCTGCATGTCTCCAGATCGTCATCATCCATTTCGACATAAGCTACCCTTTCTCGTCGAAGAGTTTTAGCAGTTTTAGCCTTTTCAGCTTTAAGGCGTTCTACTTGTCGAACCCTATCAGCAAGTTGGGTCATATCCCTTAGGTATTGTGTATCCAACTTTTTCCTAATCGAATAATCCAGGCCACCTGCTGCTATTTCAACTAATTCATGCTCAGGTACTTGGGTAAAGCATCTGGCTTTGAGCAGTCGAAATCTATTTAGATATTCATCAATTGGCTCTGTGAACCTTCTTTTTACACTAGCCAATTCTTTCAGACTTATCTTGGTTTGACCCATGTAAAATTGTTCATGGAACAATCTTTCTAATTGGTTCCAATTGTGGATCGAATTGGCTGGGAGGGTAGTGAACCAAGTAAAAGCATTTTTAGTTAAGGAACTTGGGAAGTATTTGATTCTAAGGTTTTCATTGTTTGCTATTTCTCCTGCCTCTATCAAATATCTAGCCACATGTTCGACAGTCGACTCTGTCGTATCCCCTGAAAATTTAGTGAATTTTGGGACTTTTCCCATAGGTGGTAAGTCCGTTTGCAGAATATACTCTGACAATGGGGATGTAAAGTTTGGCCTATGGAAACCAACATTCATCCCGTTTTGAAGCATGATTCTCTCGATCATAGCAGTTAAATTATTATCCACCCCATAGTTCTGGTGTCGAACTTGTTGTATTAATTCGTCAGCATTTTGATTTCTATTAGCCAGAATAACGCCCTGGTCGATCTCTCGATGGTTTCGAGGTATCTCTATTCTTGGTTGTTCTACTTCGACCCTTAGAACTTGGGGGTTTGGATTAATGTTCAAATCTTCTTCCATGATTACCCCTTGATTTAATCTTATTGGTACCCTCTGGGGCTGTCGAACAACTTGGGGTAGTTGAGCAACTTGGGGCACCCCAAAGAATTCAGCCATGCGCGTCATTTGCGCTGTCATCTATTGATTCGACTGTGTGGCAGTATGAATGAGGGGATTTAGTACTGTACTTAGAGTTTGTGCTAACATTTGTACCATTTCATGGTTACTTTCGTCTATTTGTTGCCTCAAAATTATTGTCGAAGCATTTGTGAGACTTGGTATCATATGAGATGGCCCTCCCAAAAATTGGTTTCTACTGGCTCCAGATCCCTGTAATGGTGATGTTGCATTTACCAAAGATTCTGAAAAAGTAGACGCAACATTCATAAGGCTAGCCATTTCAGTAGTTGGCATGCCATATGGTTGTTCTTGACCCATCCAGGTTGTCGAAAAGCCTGGGGGTACAGTTGATCGAGACCCTAGGTTTATCCTTGGTGGGGGTGTTCCCAAAGGACCTCTTGGACCCACATACGTAAGTAAGGGTCCAGTTTGATTCATGGTTAACGCTGGTATGGATCCAACAGAAGTTGGGATATTCCCTTCGACAGCAGTAGTAACTGCTGTTCCTGTGATCGGTGGAGGTATTTCTCCATGGTTTGCCTCGTTAGCCATACTACTCTCTCCGTTTTCTTTCCTAACAGTATATTTGTTGGTTATTCTACCACTTCGTAATAACATGCAATGTTATAACTGTACAGGAAAAAACACAATAACATAGACAATTAGCAACGTCCCACTGGGCGTGCCAATTTGTTTACCGTTGTTTTTGGTAAACAACCGCTGGTCTCCAAAAGGTAAGTTTTTTGGTTTACTTGCGGGATCGACCAAACTAATCCCAGAACATATGCTAATCTTTATGTAAAATGAGTAAGAAGGAAGAACGCACGTTCGACCCAGGGGAAAGATGTTTCAGATTATTGAACAGTAAGCAAAAGCATAAAGATGCAAGTAAAAGAAGTAAAAAGATGACTTTGCAGGATAGTAGTAAAGTAATGTAAAAAGACTTTTATTAAGTACAAAAGGTGTTTCTAACGTACATTGCTTTGCTTTTATCCTTTCTCACGTAGTAGTTACTTGGATAATATTTGAGAGAATTTTGTACTATAAGTTGAACACACCTAAAAATTGCACAAACTTCCTAATTTATACTAAAAGTAGGTAACCGTCGAGGGGATATTCTGCGCTAGGATGAAGACAAGTGTCTTCTGCATGCCTCTCGACCCATAGCTTTTTGCCACGTTCCCTTCCCTTAGACACTGATGAAAACCACCTTTCCCTCCAATAATTCAAATTTCAAATGGTCTTCGTCCCATGTGCCAAGGCGCGAACACTTTCCTTCAGTCGAACAACCTAAATCTGCTTCAGTCGAACGAACCCTCGGTCGAAGACTCTTATCATAACTTAGATCCTTTTTCCTAAGTTATCTCGTGTGTCGAATACCTCCTGGTTTAGTTCATTCCAGTTGTTTGATCCAAAAGACCAAATACAGTAAGTGTCGAATTTGGGAGCCAACAATAGCCGTCCAATGTGATTCAGGTAGTCCTAATTATAATTCACTCTATCATTCACTCACTAACTTTAGCATTGAAGTGTTAACCTTACAGATACACCCCGCACAACTGTATCGGAGATCTACATCACCACATCAAGAATCTATACCAACAATTCTAATTCCCGGATGGATTACTGTCACAACGCTATTATCGATGCTATTATCGATACATATTCAGTACATTCTTGTTACTGTTCATTCTTTTTAACATTAACGATTTGCTATACATATACATGTAAGGATTGATCTTTTGATCAATGATTAAATGCATAAAATTCAATTTTCATTAAATATTTATAAAAATAATTTGATTGTTTTTCTCTTCTCATTCTCTGTGAAATTAAGCTGATTCTCATACAGTATACTATACTGCTTATTAATTACAAATCCTTCTATTTTGTGACAATATCAAGAACAGATTATTATCTTTATAGACTTTTGAAGCATCCAAAGCATGCAAAAGCCTTTAATTCTTGATGGAAATTTGTTTGACTGCTATATTTGACAATGCATCTGGTGAAATTCATCACTGAAAAAAGTTTCCTAAAGATGATTACATCATAAAGGAGATAAATTCTTTTATCAAATTAACAGACTGTATGGAATTAATTAGCCCCATGTCACAAGACATGAATATTCTTGTTAACATGAAGCAAAACACAAACCTACATACCAAGTTACAAAAATATTCAAAGAGACTTCATACTCTAAAGAATGAAAGTGACCTTATACTTTGCACCAGAATCAAAGTAAACCAAAACAGAAGGGAGAATAATAAAAAGTTGTAACAGCTTCTTTACCACATTTTGCAAAATTTTGCATACAAATACTCCAATGATGACTCTGTTCTAATCATCCCTTTCTAGCTTCAACATTTCCAGCATTTTTCTCTATTTCTTTCTCATCATCCTCTTTCAATGGCCACCTTCATTTTCAGGTCTAACAAAATGGTCCATGCCTTGACCTGGTTTTGTCTCATGCTAATGATTCATAAGGGTGCGGCTTATGAGTTCATAGTTGGTGGCCAAAAGGGTTGGAGTGTTCCAAGTGATTCCAGTTACAATCCTTTCAATCAATGGGCTGAAAAGAGCCGTTTTCAAGTAGGAGACTCTCTAGGTGAGAAACTCGTCTTCATTCTAATCCTATATTATTTTTTTATACGTAGACGAAGTACTAATACCTATAAAAAACTCACACACGAACAACTGCGAAATCTAGGGTTTGAACCCTAGTCTCAGCGTCCAACCTAGTAATATCGGCTTTTCTGTACTAATACATACTTTTATACTAATACCTATTTTTGTGCATGATTACTGCAGTGTTCAACTACCAATCTGGCAAAGATTCAGTGCTATATGTAAAGAGTGATGACTATGCAAGTTGCAATGTTGGTTCACCTTATGCAAAATACTCTGATGGTCACACAGTCATCAAACTCAACCAATCAGGACCTCATTTCTTCATCAGTGGAAACAAAGACAACTGTGCCAAAAATGAGAAAATAACAGTCATTGTTCTGTCGGACAGAAGCAACAGCAACAGCGGCGGTTCATCAAACACAAACCAAACAAGCAATGCTTCTCCACCTTCACCACAATCATCATCATCACCTCCTTCACCATCTCCTTCTAAGCCAGATGATCAATCTCCATCTCCAGATACAAACCAAACACCATCTACTAGTGATCATGGTCATCCTCCTCGCAACGGTGCTGCTTCAGTCTTTGTCAACCTAGCTGGTTCTGTTGGAACACTCATGGCTTCTGTTCTTATTTTATCTAAGTATTGATTGATTGATTGATTTTTTATATTTTGTTTTCTGTTTGATTTTCTATGTTTTGAGTTCAGTGTGAACTATGTCTTTGTTCAAAGTTGGGATGGTGTTTGATATTTGTTTGTGAAGATTGAAAAATAAGGTGACAATAATTTATATACACTTCTGTGTGCTTCTTGTTCAATAATGTAAAAATGTTGTAATGTTAAAAATGAAATGAATTAAACCCATTTTTTAATGGAAAATATCTTCCTTTTGAATTGGTTTATGACTTTATGTGGCATCCTTCATACCATGATCGTTCATACATCCTAGACAAAGTAAAACACGGGGGAAGTATTATGATTAGTTTATTATTATTCATAGAAAAGAAAAGGAAAAAAAAAAACTAAAAGGAAATAAAACAAAAAGGGACAACTTTTCTACCTATAAAATTGAGTAGTGTACCTTCAACCAATCACATTATATTATTTAATTTAATATATTTAATTATTTATTAAATAATATAACTATTTATTATTTTCAAAGTATTTTACACGGAAGATAATCTTACCCTATTTTTTGAGTTGAGTAGATAAGAATTCATTAAAAAAAACACACATCAAAGATGGTTGAAAGAACTTGGAAAATGAAAGATTGATGTTTTTTATAAGAAAGAAAGATGGTATAAATTTGAGTATAAGGGATATTCAACCCATATACAAAGAGAACAAGGGAAACAAGGAAGGAACCATTAAGATGTAAAAACTAAGGAAAATAAACTAGAGGATTTAACAACCATTCTTTCCAGTCATGGTCGTCTAAATACCCCTTGTATCTCGCTCCAAATCAATCCCACGATAAGCTCTTAGTTAAAAGCACGATTTCATACATACCTTTGTGACATCATTTAAAAAGAATGTCATTTCTAATCAACCAAATGGACCAAACAATTGACAACTAAAATAGGAGACGCGTAGTTTTCTTGATCTTTCCTTTCAAAAGATTTCTAAAAACCTTCATGTGAGCAATAACATAACACAAGTTGCCATTTGACCAAGACCGGTCCACTCCAACACAATAATCTAGACGTGAGTAGCTACGAGGCAAAGAAAGAACAAGTGTAATTGAGATTCAGCAGGACCTAAGCAAATAGGACAAACTAGATTATGCATACTATTTAGAATCCATCTTTTGTCCAATTTATCTCTTGTTGGAAGTCTATTCAAAAGGAGTCTCCAAGCAAAGAATTAAATATCGCTTGGGACGCTGGAAATCTAAATCAAGTTAAGTGCACCAGACAATTCAACATTTAAATGAGAACCTGATAAAGAAATGGTGGCCAACCTTGAGTAAGTCGCCTTAACCAAAAAACCAGAAGATTACGCCACCATATAAAGGAGTCAGCTAAATGATGGGTAGAAGGCACACTGATGAGAATGGTGTGAAGCTCTTCCCATTCAAATTTGGCTGCAATAGAAAGTTGAGAGAAGTCAATTCCAATATTCCAAGACCAAACGTGATTACTCCACAGACCTGCATAACCAACTTTGAGCCTACGTTCCTGAACAAAATCAAACAAGGAAACAACAGGTTGAGGGGTTGGGAGCCGATCCATATGAACCTCTAGAAATAAATGTCTAAATTAGATCCAAGTTTGCAAGAGATAGAGTTTTCAAACTAGTTTTCATCGTGCCTCTAATTAGTCATTATTTTCCTAAGATCTCTCCACAATAATGAGGATTTTCTATTTTCGATTGGGCAAAAGGAATCAAGAAGATGGCCCTTGATGTCTCCATATTTAAAGGACATAAGAGAAGATCAAGGTAAGTTCTGGTCAACAAGAATCATCCAGACCCACTTACTCAAAAGTACCACATTGAAAGACTCACAATGCTTTATACCTAGGCCTCCTTTGATTTTTGACCCTTCTAAAGAAATGCTTGCTAGATTTTGAATATGTCGTGGATAATAATTTTTCATTCTCTATAGAAGGATAAGGGGTATAGAAAAATTGAATTCAAAAAAATGTTTAATAACACCACACAACCTCCATATGAAACAACTTACCTTTCCAATTTAAAAATCTACAGTGAAGTTTATCAATGATTGGGTCCCAAGAGTTGCACCTTAGATGATTAATCACAATCGTGACTCCTATAAAATTGAAAGGCAGATGACTGGTTGGAAAGACTAGGAAATCAGAGGCTACCTCTGAGAAACCGGGATCAAGATTAAAGCTCGGGATTTTACTTTTAAGAAAATTAACTCTTAGCCTTGAAACCATTTTGAATCCATGTAAAATTTATTTAATAGACCAAATGTTTTCCCACTTTGGTTCTCCCAAGATGAATGTGTCATTTGTGAATTGAAGAAGATTGAAATGGAGGTTTTCAGAAAGAGAAAATTGGATGAAGGATAATTGGGAAATGACATTCTTCATTAAGCCGACGAGACCTTCGGTAGCAATGATTAAAAGAAACGGGGAAAGAGGGTCCCCTTGGCGGAGGCCTTTCCCTGCTCAGAAGTTCATGGTAAGGCTTCCATTGACTAAACCAGAAAAGGAACTAGATCATACATAGACTTAAATCTAATTAATCAATTTATTACAAAAGTTAATTTGTTTAAGAACAAAAAATACTCCCATGATACCTAATTGAATTATTTTTCAAAGTCGATTTTGAAGAAGAATAACTCTTTCTTGTTTCTTTGGGCGTAGGAATGAAAGTTGTAAAAAACAAGGGACTTGATGCCATCTACATCTTCTATGAGGAGGTATCCTCAACTCTCGAAGCTGAAATTCCATTACGCCTGAATCTTGACTTCAGGAAAGAGTGAAAAAAAATTAAATTTTAACCCCCTTACCTAAGCCATTTACATATGGATTTCTGTCTATTCATTGATTCATTGAGGTGTAGTTTTTCCAGATTAAAAATTGAACTTCTGATTTCATTCTAGATACATCAGAGTTGATTGGAGCTACATTATTAGCCACTAACTGATCCAGAACATTTAAGTCATTAACTGCTTCTTCATAAACCAAATCCAATCTCCCGAAAACTTCCAAATTCCAAGACTTGGGTCTTGATTTTAGAAGTTTAAGATTTCATTTAAAAATGAATAATTTTTTTCCTTGTATATTAGAATAATTCCAAACCTCTTGTACCACAGAGATAAAGTCTGAAAGTTCCAACCATGAAGAGGAGAATTTAAACGAATTTGGTCTCCAATTTAGATGATTGACACTAAGTTAAATTAGACAATGATATGAAATGTCTCATATGCCAGCAGATTTCCCTTTTAAGCTCAATATATCTATAATCCCTTCAGAGATGAGAATCAATCAATTATGCTCATAAAGGATCCTGAAGTGTTAAACCATGTAAATATGTTTCATGTGGATGGTAAATAAATCAAATACATTTCACTTTTACTAATAAATTCAGAAAATTCATCCATATCTGAAAAGTTGTAATGAATGTTAAGACCCTTCCTTTCACTTGGCATTTTAATGCCGTTGAAATCTCCCCTAAGACACCAGAATGTTGCTGGGAAAAGAGATTCCAATCTAACCAACTCCATCCACATTCTCCTTTTATTGTTGATAAAACACAATGAGTATATGTTAACTATGTAAGTTAAACGATCCTTCCATTTAAGGTGAATCCCCACGAAGCCTTTACCTTCGAAGCTGAAGAAAACTTCAAAGAGACAAGGTTTCCACAGTGGAACCATTCCTCATGACCTTCCAATACACCTCCTTATTACCTCAAAGAGAATGCGCCATAGAGTCTTCCATCGATTGAAGTTTTGTTTCTTGAACTAGGAAAAGATCTACCTTTCTTGTTGAGATTAACTTATTTAATAATTTCCTCTTAAATAAATTACCATTCCTCCTAATATTATAAGAGAGTAAATTCACTTAACACCCATGTCATTATCTTCCTTCTTTATAAGCTTGTCTTGGTCTTGATTTTTCAGGAGCCTGATTTCATATATGTTTGCTACATCATCATCACCCCCCGACCTATATCATAAGCCTTTTCCAAAATTTTGAATAATAATTAAAAATATAGATTATTCAACTTAATAAAAAAGAATTACTTCCTTTTTAAAAAACATGTTAAATTAAAAGAAAAGAAAGGATTTATTCGGTGGTTTTTCAATACACCATATACACTTCTATTAACTTGTATTATCTGATATAAATACTAGTCATATTAATTTCTTAAACAATAAGGCATTCAAATGATTCTTCAAAGTGAGTTAATTGTATCATATTCTACTAGTCTTTGTATTATTAAAGGGTGTATTTCTAGATCGATTATCTATTGTACAAGTAGGATTCATACACTATAGAATAGGTTTGATTTGACCGATGATATTCACATTGTTCCTTATGGATAAACAAGAAAACTAATGGTAAAGGATTTACAACCAATGAGAAAAATCACCTTATGCAAAGAGAATGATTATCTCTACAAAAATCATATTTTAAATGGACTCGTTGATGATCTGTAAAAGAAGTATGATACAAAAGAGGCTAGATCAAAGAAGTGTGTTGTTAGTTGCTACTAGAAATATCAGATGGTAGATGAAAACGGGTTTGAAGGCTTAATGTCAATAAATTCAAAAGATTTCTCATGAGATCATTATTGAAGGTATGTCTTTAGATTAACAATTTTAAATTGCTTTTATTATTGACAAATGCCCCCTAGTTTGAAAGATTCTAAAAATTTGCTTCGCCATAAAATGAAAGAAGTTTTAATTGAAGAAGAATCTAATAGACAAGATCAAAAAGAAAAAGTCTTTGTTACATAAAAAAAAGATATATGGTGTGATTCTGAAACTATTTTGCAAACCATTAAAGAATCAGAACCATAATATTGTGAATCCAATTAAGAAGGAGAACCCTTAAAAGGCCCCAATTACTCTAATTGCTAGTCAATAACTACCATCATAAATAAATTACATTGATTTTTTCTCTTGCTTCAATTGTGCAACACCAATTTATATATCTAAGAAATGTAAGAAAA